GATTCTGATGTGTAATAAAATCGAATCAGGTGTACGCGCGCACCCCACCCTTGGTATTGCTGAGACATAAAAAATATAACTAATAAAAGGAAACAAACAAGTATAAAAAAATGAAATTTTATAAAGACAAATAGGGATCAATATATACGCAACCTAGCTAGATATGGTAATATACAAAGTTTTAATGCTACAAAATTTATTGAAACAAGAAAGTCAAACTACAAAGTCTGAGTTAACAGAAATTTATGTTACTTGGTTGTTTTTATGAAGCTTTTTTTTTAAATGGGGTCTGCACAAAAGATACTTAATGATCAGCACAGGGATTTACGTTCTCTGTATGTTTTTATGAAGCTGTTTTCTTGAACGGGATCCATACAAAAGATACTTAACGATCAGCACAGGGATTTATGTTATCTGTATGTTTTTATGAAGCTGTTTCCTTGAACGGGATCTATACAAAAGGTACTTACTTAGATCAGCACAGGAATTTATGTTATTTGTTTGTTTTTATGAAACTTTTTTTTTGAATGAGATTTATACAAAACGTACTTAAGGATTAGCACAGAAATTTATGTTCTTTGTTTTTATGAAACTTTTTTCTTGAACGGGATCTATGCAAAAGGTACTTAATGATCAGCACAGGAAGTTATGCTATATTTGTTTGTTTTTATGAAGCTGTTTTCTTGAGTGAGATCTATTTAGTTTTATTTTTACCACCAGTACTCACTCGCATATAATTAGTTAATATTTCAGTCAATTTTTATGGCTTCTACTCAGTTCTCAGTTTACAACAAATACGAGCTTTATTTTAAAGGATTCAACTAGCTTCTCATCATTATTTAGTTCTTAGGGGCTTTTCAGCTCAAGCTTTCTATAAATGGTTCACATGCACAGCAATGGTCTGCAATGTTTTTGTTTCTTAGCTAAAAGTTCTAAATTTATAAACACTTGCGATTTTTAGTTATGTGTTTCTATTTACAAAATTGTTGCTTGCTAAATAACCAATTTTACTATTTATGTATTTATTGTTTCATAACTTTCTGTTTTAAAGTTGCAAAACTGTATTATTTTCTAACTGCTTCTGCAAGCATTTTTATATATTACACTTTCTTAGATGTCTATTTAGAGAAATAAGTTTTTGTCTTGATAGTTATGTATTTGTTGTTTATTAGACACAGATTGTCTGGTTCTTCTCACTGTATTTTTTGACACAGAATGTGATTTATTTTGTTGTTAGTTATCTATCTTAATACGTCTTGAAATATTCATATACAAGATGGAGCGAAGGCTATTTACAGTTGATGCTAAAGAAACTAATTTAATTATTGTTCATTTCAGAGTAAGACGTTAGAATTTAAACTAAGCTCTAACTGAAACAAGTGTATAGTCAATTTTGCCCCAAACTTTATATATATATATTTGTATTTATATATTATGTTGTTGCAAGCATACAGCACTGCCGTAAACTATTGAAATATTAACCGGAACTTCAAACGAGCGGTAATTTTTATTATGTTTTAGGTTAGATTTTTTTTTTTTGCGGTTTCCCACAGCCTTCGACGCAAGTGTATGATTAACCAAAGTCTTGCATTAACTACCAAAGGTTTAAAGCTGGTAAGAAATATCCAAATTTTAATTTATTCGTTCAAAACTATGTTGTAGAGATTTTTAGCCATATGTTGTAATATCTGTTATTGCTTTTGTCCCCTAAACAAGGAAGACTAATTAGCTTTAATTACTTACTTTACTCCAACATATTAAACTCTTCAGTGAATAGCAAATTTACTGAAACTTTAAAACAAGCTATAAGAAATTTAAGCATTTTTCTCTTGACTGTCCAAAAACAAGTTTCCAATTTCAAGAGCGCGTAGTAGCATATGAGCATCTATGTTTTCAATGTGGACCGCTTTCCAAGAGGCCTTTCGCTCATATCAGTCATCAAGCTGACTAGGTTAAACAACCCAAAGTTATAGATGAAACGCTACCAATATTAATCATAGAGCTAAGTTATAGATGAAGTGCTATCAATATTAATCATAGAGGCTAAGTTATAGATGAAGTGCTATCAATATTAATCATAGACTTGAGTTATAGATGAAGTGCTATCAATATTAATCACAGAGCTAAGTTATAGATGAAGTGCTATCAATATTAATCATAGTTATGTTATAGATGAAGTGCTTTTCAATAATTAATCATAGAGCTATGTTATAGATGAAGTGCTATCAATATTAATCATAGAGCTATGTTATAGATGAAGCGCTATTACTATTAATCAGAAAGCTTAACATGAATTCTTGATTTTATTTTCCAATGTAATGAGTTGCTTTTTTTATTGTTTTTTTCCCCCCACAGTATCGTACAAAAAGAATCCATACAGTGAAGCCCCGAAGGAGATGGGTGAAAATTAATGTTCGTGGATTAGTGACAGAGTGGATTTTTAACCCTGAATTAAATCATGGGGTTATGGTGTACTGCTTCAATCACAAAGGAGACAGCATACCTTACACGCGTCCAAATCACGATATACATTATCAGGTGCGTTGACCATGGACTGTTAATGTCGTGATTAATATACCAGGATAACGCGTTTAAAAAAATGAATTAAAACTAGAAGCCATGTTATTGAAAGTTTTATTTCTGTAATATACAACATTCAACCTTCACATTGAGCAATATTGGGAGATGTGGCAGAGGTGTTGTCAAAAGCTTTCTCAGTATCACTTCAGTAATGTCAGCTAAGCTTTAATATTTGAGTTTCTTTTGAGTCACTTAACAAACATTTTGCCTCCAAGAAGGCATATACAAAAAGGTATTACACAATTGAAATAAATCAACATGTAGGATTACAAGACAACTGTATGCCTTGTTACTGTCGGGTCCGGCATGGCCAGGTGGTTAGGGCGCTCGACTCGTAATCTGCGGGTCGCGGGTTCAAATCCACGTCACACCAAACATGCTCACCCTTTCAGCCGTGGGGACGTTATAATGTGACGGTCAATCCCACTATTCGTTGGTAAAAGAGTAGCCCAAGAGTTGGCGGTGGGTGGTGATGACTAGCTGCCTTCCCTCTAGTCTTACACTGCTAAATTAGGGACGGCTAGCGCAGATAGCCCTCGTGTAGCTTTGCGCGAAATTCAAAACAAACAAACAAATGTTACTGTCATATTTTACGAACCATTGAACAGAGCGGTTACTTTTCAATATCTTTATGTTCGTGGTGAAGAGTTTCGAATATCTTTCATTATATAAATAAAGTGTTACAGAACGATACACTTTCAGTGTATCATAATTCACGCACAATGTACTCGGCACACAACGAGCTATCTCTGTGGTATTTTTCACGTAACCCACGTAACGGTGGGTGGTGCTGAATAGCTGCCTTCCCTCTAGTCTATCATTTTAAAATTAGGGATGGCGAGCGCAGATAACTCTCTACAAACAAGCAAATCATATTTATAAGCAAATAAACCAGCTTTATGTAAAAACTGATTCAAAGTCTACAATGGAAAGATTGACTGAAATTGTCCTACAGAAAGAGGATACTGCAATCCAATGTTTCAGACTTAGAAAAATGTTAACCAGAAAATTAAGTGCGAAACTTCAGAAGATACTTGCATCTTGAAGGTATTAAAAACCCATCGTAGTTAAAAATGATAATTTTTCCAGAATTAGTTAGTTTTACAGAAAAAATGTTATAATATTATCTTTAGCATTAATAATATTTAAACTATAAAAATTTAACACATTTTAATTGTCAAAATCAGTGAATTATTATAGTACATAGACTGACTTAATCCAATCACCAGAATTAGTGAATTTTTGAAATACATAGGTTGAAATTGAAACAAAATTAGCTCAACAATTATTATTATTATTTGCAGATGCCTTTCATTGAAATAAAGACGAACAGAAGGCTTCTCCAAAGGGCTAGGCGTAGTTTTAGTTTCAACTGTTCACCTGGTTCGAAAGAAACAAGGTGTTGTCGACATCCGTTGACAGTGGATTTCGCCGAGATGAAATGGGACTTTATAATTGTGCCCCTTCGCTACCAAGCGTATTACTGCGGAGGAGACTGTCCTCCTGCGTTCCTACCTGAACATTTACACACCGTGTTGGCTCAACATGCTGCAGTCGACAAATCGGTGGAACCTCTTTCTCAGTGTTGCTCAGCTAGCAGCTTGTCTCCAATAACTATTATTTACCGGGATGAAGCCAAGAACAACTACTTACGCGTATTGGTAGAAGACATGATTGTAAATAGTTGCAGTTGTTCCTAGTGTAACAAGATCGTTTCAACAGTTAACTAAATCTCGTGAAAAGAAAAGGAGAAAATTAAAATCCTCGAACACAAAGAAAAAAAAATCAGAGTTATTTGTAAGTATGTGCTAGAGTTACAACCGAACATATACAGAATTATTAATATATCAGTTGCCAAAAAAAGCTTTGAAAATCGTGCTTTGATAGAACTGTTTATGTTATCATGCAGACTACCAAACTGCAAGTAAAACTTATTTTAAAATTTTGGTAGGTTTAAAATAATATGACATTGTACAGGATGTAGATTATAGCAATGATATAAATTCATTTATTTACTATTTTCTAGTTTTGTTTTAATAAAAAAAGCATCATGATGATACGTACTTAATAATATACAAGTAAACTTTAAGGGTTTAGTTTATCTGTGATAACGTGTAAGGTCCATAGAGATCCAGTAGTTGTAAAGTTTGGTCAAGTCTGGGAAGACTTCTTAGTATAAATTTAATTATTCACATGAACACAAACAAATTTTACTAATCCAAACGTGCTCGTCGAATATAACAATTCCTTTGTCAAGTGTATGTAAGATAAAATTACATTTCTATTTTAGAGAGATATAATAAATTTTTATTTCAGCAAAATAATTTATTTTTAAATACATATACAATGAAAAACGAAATATGATGCAGCCTTGATATAAAATATAATTGGAGTGATAATTATTTGTTGAGATATTGTATACAACAAACGATCGGCTTAACCTTTAATCTTAAAGGTAAATTGTCATATGGAATATCTAAATGCTTTCCTAAAAGTTGTATAAAAATGTTTTCCAAAATATAAATCGAAGCCTCTTTGGAACTACTAATAATTTCAATTCTATGTGTTGCGCACCTAAGGATTCTGTGATTTTTTTTACCAGATGTTATTGCTGTGTAAGCTTTTTGTGTATGTCATAATTCAGTAAAGACAAATAGAAAAGAAAGTTTGGGCTATTCTAGTTAAAAATGGCATGCATATTTTCTTCTTGTATAGAACAATTAAAAATTCTAGTTAGTGTTTTGATTCTTGAAGTTATTATAAACATGTAACACACACGTAAACAAAATTTTAACCTACACTTCACGCCTCACAATATTACAAAATTATCTAGAAACTTCGTTAAATTCTTCACGTAATTGTTAAATAACACAGACAATTCCTTGACATTACTTGTCGAAAGTAGTACACAATCGTTGCTTTATAATCAAGCGAGCGAAATGGTTATTATTAATTAACATAAAAATTAAGTATTTTAAGAATATTACGAATAATGTGAGACCTCCATATTTGAGATATGTATAATTACAAGTTTATCCGTTCATCTAACCGCTGTTTGTTTCAAAACATCAGGTGTTTATATCTTACAAAGGTAGCTGTTTTTATAATAAATCTTCACTAAGTCCTAGGACAAATTTTTGCATTCTTCATTATACCGCTCATCCTAAGATCCTATTATTTTACAATCTAGAAAGTTTCGTTAGTTCGTTATACTACTCTTGTTTCGTCAGTTCATTATACTACTCATGCCGAAACTTAGAAAGTTTTTATTGCACCGTTATACTGTTACTTTCAATATGTAGAAAGTTTTTACTGCACCGTTATACTGTTACTTTCAATGTCTAGAAAGTTTTTTTATTGCACCGTTATACTGTTACATTCAGTGTCTAGAAAGCTTTTACTGCACCGTTATACTGTTACTTTCAATGTCTAGAAAGTTTTTACTGTACCGTTATACTGTTATTTTCAATGTCTAGAAAGCTTTTACTTCACCATTATACTGTTACTTTCAATGTCTAGAAAGTTTTTATTGCACCGTTATACTGTTACTTTCAATGTCTAGAAAGTTTTTACTGCACCGTTATACTGCTACTTTCAATGTCTAGAAAGTTTTACTGTACCGTTATACTGTTACTTTCAATATCTAGAAAGTTTTTACTGCACCGTTATACTGTTACATTCAATGTCTAGAAAGCTTTTACTTCACAGTTATACTGTTACTTTCAATATCTAGAAAGTTTTTACTGCACCGTTATACTGTTACTTTCAATGTCTAGAAAGTTTTGTTTCTCTGTTATAGTGTTCATTTCAAAATCTAAAACAACAAACAAACTTCGTTTTACGTTTTTATTTAACTCAAGTAACCAAAGTTTTAGTATTCAAATTCACATATCCTGATTAATTAATGTGGCAGTGCTTTCAATGTTAGGTTTGAACCATATCTTATGGCATTTTCACTTCGTTTATAAAGTTAAATTTCGCTTCGTATTATTCGTATCGCAAAATGGAGACTGGTGTACTTTGTAGTAATTTTTCATAATATTTGTTTCATTTACAACATAGTTTAATTTCTAACGTCTTACTCCGAAACAAACAACAATTAAATTGGTTTTCGTTGTCTTCGTAATATTTTCTTTAGTACCAACTGTACTAACCGCATTGTACAAACCGTATAGTAACTTTTGCTTCACACTGTGCTGTTGAACCAACGCACATATCGCTGTAATGTCGAATTAAAATGACCGGTCGCAGTCAAAAAACAAAACAGATTCAGTATTTTGTTTTAGGTTTAAAAATGATTACGTTTCAAGCTTGAACTGGTAATTATATGTGATTTTTGTTTTAAGTTTTTGCAGGTGAATTTTTTAAGAAGGCTCCACCTCGTTACTTGCATGACACATACCAGCCAATAACTGTCACTTCATTAGTACTAGGGTAAGACACAAATGGTTTGCATACATTTGACTGTGTGAATATATACATATATTCATTTAGTTGTTCTTCACAAGATCACGGGTGTAAGAGGAGTTCTATATAAAACGTCCAAATAAGTATACTGTTACGTCTCCGTTCGTTAGTTAATTTTCCGTAAATTCGTTCCGACGAAACTTTAGCGACACAAGTCCTTTCTTAAATAAAACTGGTTTATTCTTTCCGAATACAACTTTACGATACACTTAATTTC